CCCCACCTCTGCCACCCCCGGGACCCCCCTGACGCTCCGGGTGGATTTTGGGGGGTCTCCACAGGATAACCCCCCCCTCTCCCCACAGACGAGACCCCCTCCCGTCCCCGCCGGACCCCCCGTTCCCCTCGGACGCCTCCTGCTTCCCGCGGGACACCAAAGACCCCCGGCCACCCCCGGCCGGCGACCACGGCGGCGTCCCGGCGCTGCCCGGGCCCTGCGGCTCCATCCCGGAGACCCTGCTGGTGGCCACGGGCGACGAGGAAGCCACGACCACCCCGGCTCTACCCGAGGGAGCCCCCCCGACCCCTCCGGGACCCCCGGGCCCGCCGTCACCGTCGTTGTTCATGCTGCGGCTGCCGCCCCGCGCCGGTTCCTACATCCAGAGCGAGCACAGCTACCAGGTGGGCAGCGCTCTGCTCTGGAAGCGCCGCGCCGAGGCCGCGCTGGACGCGCTGGACAAAGCCCAGCGGCAGCTGCAGGCCGGGAAACGCCGCGAGCAGCGGCTGCGGCTGCGGCTGGCCGAGCTCCAGAGGGAGAGGAGAGCGGTGCCGGAGCCGCGGAGGAGCCCCAAGGAACCGCCGGGCTTGGTGGAGTTGGAGCTGCTGGGAGACGGAGGAGGGAGCTGAGGGATTCTCGGTTCCGCGAGGCTCCGGGGAGGTTTGTAAATAAATTTAAAAAAAAAAAATGGTTTCGTCTTTTTTCTAGGTGGAATTTGGGGGAGTTTGTGGAGTTTGGAGGGGGAGTTTTAGGGGGTCTCCCTAAAATCTCCTAAATCCCTGGATGAGGGGCTGGGATGGAATTAGTGCCAGGAGTTCAGACGGGGGGTGACAGGGTACGGAGGGGAGGTTCAGGCGGGATTTGGGAAGGAGTTTCTCCCTCTTGGGTTGTTGAGGGGCTGGGACGGAATTCCCAGGGATTTGTTCCGGAACAAAGCCCAGGGCAGGAACGGGATGAGGTTTTGGGGGCTCCAGATCAAACAAGGACAAACATCCTTGTCTGGGGGCATCACCTGCCTCGTCCTGAAGGGAAAACGAGGGAATCCAATCCCCAGAAACATCCTGGCAGCCAAAAACCGGGAATTAAGGGCTTAATTTCCACAGCACAGAAGCGCAGGGCGAGGTAACACCAACCCATCGCCCTCCTCTTGCTCCCACACGGTTAAAACCTCCCCAAACGAAGCCTGATTAGCCCCAAATTAGCCTCTGCTAATTACCCCGAGGCCATCAGAGCCCCGGGGCCCCCAGAGCGCCGCTACAGACTGAGCTTCATGTCCCGGATGGCGGCGAAGGTGGCGGCGGCCAGCGGCACGTAGGATTTCTGGCTGTCATCGCGGAAGAACAGGCGGTCCCGGACCACGGCGGGGTCGAAGCCCTCCTTGACCAGGTTGCTCTTGCACTGCTTGAACGTCCCCGTGATCTCCAGAGCGTCCTGGGGACGGGGACACCGGGATTGGGGAACCTCGGCGGAATCGCGGGCGGCGCCATCGGGGTTTTGGGGATGCGCTGGGGGTCTTTGGCACCGGGTGACGCCCATTGGGACAAGGTGGCCACCATTGGAACCGGGTGGCCACCACTGGGACAGGCTGCCCACCATTGGGACAGGGTGACCACCATCGGGACAAGGTGGCCACCATTGGCATGTGGTGACCACCATTGGCACAGAGTGGCCACCATTGGAACTGGGTGACCCCCATTGGGACAAGGTGGCCACCACTGGGACAGGATGACCACCATTGGGGCAGGGTGACCACCACTGGCATGGGGTGACCACCATTGGCACAGAGTGGCCACCATTGGAACCGGGTGACCACTACTGGGACAAGGTGGCCACCATTGGCACAGGGTGACCCCCATTGGAACCGGCTGACCCCCGTTGGGACAGGGTGACCCCCATTGGGACAAGGTGGCCACCATTGGCACAGGGTGACACCCATTGGCACGGAGTGACCCCCATTGGAACCGGGTGGCCACCACTGGGACAGGGTGACCCCCATTAGCACTGGGTGACCCCCACTGGGACATGGTGGCCACCATTGGCACGGGGTGACACCGTTGGCATTGGGTGACCCCCGTTGGCACAGGGTGGCCACCACTGTCATGGGAAAGGGGGGGAACCTCAACACTGTCACCGGAACACCGCCATCATCGGCACAGCGTGACGCTGGTGTCAGTACGGAGCAAGCGTCACCAGGAACAGGCAGTTCCAACCACCAGGTGCCACCAACAACGCGGCCCCCCACTGCCACCAGGGGCCCCCCAGCACCGTTACTGGCACGGGGTGACCAACGCCATCGTGGGAAACTGGGGGGACACCAATGCTGTGGTGGGAACTGGGGGAGCTCTAAAGTCCCCTCCCACCCAAAGTGTTCAGCGATTCCACCCGGCCATGACCGGAACTGGATGAGCTCCGACGCCTCTTCCCACCCAAACCATTCCACGATTCCACCTGGTTGTCACCAGAACTGGATGAGCTTTGACACCTCTTCCCACCCAAACCATTCCATGGTTCCACCTGGCCATGATCAGGCACCCCAGTGTTGGATCATCCTCCTCCAAAGGCCAACCCCAGCACCCCCAATCCCCCCGGAGCCCCCGAGGGTGGGTGGGACCGCTCTGACCTGGATCCGGATGAAGCGGGGGGCGGCGTAGGCGGGCAGCGTTTCCCGCGTGAAGGCGTAGAGTTTGTCACCGTCGAAGGTGGCGCCGTCCTTGAGGCACACGGCGGCCATGCCACAGCGGCCCTCACACCCTGCCAACATCGCCCGCGGTCACCGGGAGCAGCCGCATCTCCTGGGAGTCTTCTCCAGGCCCTCTGGGCTACCGGGGGGGCGTCGTGTGGCCAAACGTGTTTTGGGGTGATGGTGGTGGATCGCGTACCCAGAACGACGCTGGGTGCTCATTTTTGGGTGAATTCTTCCTATTTTTGCTTCCTTTGTGGCCACCTGGACCCAACCCAGCACCCGACGCTTGCTTGGGGCAACCGAGTCCCGTTTGAACATTCTTTTGGGGATCCTTGGGCTGTTTTGTGGGGGATGTTTTGTGCCCAAAGTCCCGTTTGAACCTCCTTGGTGGTGGCTCAGACCGCCCGGGGTCGCGTCACCCGCCTCAAACACCCCCCGGTGTTATTTCGGTGGGACTCACCCGGCACAGCCACGCCGTAGACGTTGACCTCCTGGATGAAGCTCACCAAGCCCAGCGTGGCCTCCACCTCCGTCGTGGCCACGTTCTCCCCTTTCCAGCTGGGGAGGAGAAGGGACGGAGCCGTGTGGGGAGCGGGATTTGGGCCGGCACCGACCCCTCGGACACACGCGGGAGCGTGGGAATTACCGGAAGGTGTCCCCGACACGGTCTTGGAAGTAGATGAACTTCTCGTGGTCCATCGTGAGGAGGTCGCCGCTGTTGAAGAAGGCGTCGCCTTTGGCCAAGACGTCCCTCAGGATCTTCTTCTCCGTCTTCTGCGAGTCGCCGGCGTAGCCGTGGAACGGGGTGTTCTTGGTGATTTTGACCACGAGCAGCCCTGTCTCACCTCCAGGGAGGGAGTGGAGGGTTGGAGGCCGCTCAACCCCTGCCTTGGCTTCTTCTGGGGCTTTCTGGTGGCTTCCAGTCCCCAGGATGGTGGTGATGAGGGCCGAGAGGTGGTTTTGGTGCATCTCCAGCCCCGGGAAGGCCCCGGCCAGGTGGGTTCCTTACCGGGTTTGACGGGGATGCAGAGCCCTCGCTCGTCACGCACGACCTCATCCTCCTCCACGTCGTACCTGATCAGCTCAAAGGGAGCGAAGAGCTGGAGGGGAGGGAGAAACCCGGGATTGAAAACAGGGAGGACAATTTCCCTCCAGTGCCAGGTGTGGCCTGTTCCAACCCACGGGAACACACCTGGGTGTGGCCTCCTCCAACCCCCACATGCCAGGGATTAAAAACCATTTGTTTTTTTAATTGCCGTTAGTTTGAAATCTCTTGGTTGAAATCATTAAAATCGAGTTTTATTTCAAGCTGTTTAAATAAGGTTTTAATCTGATCAATTCAAACCGTGAAGGAACTCGTGGTGGCATCTTCCGAACCCAGGGGACAACGTGATGGGGGAAAAGAGATCTGATTTTTGCAGTTTTTGCTCAACAGGTGGATGAGGGACAAAAAGGCCACCCAGGTGGCCAGGTGTCCATGGACATCCCGAAACCAGGCTGCAAATCAACGCTGTTGAGGGAATTTTGGCCAGCCAGGTGGAGGGGACTCCTTTGGGGTGGGAAAAGGGCATTCTGGGGACTTCTGTGCCAGCCCAACCTGATGGACGGTGTGGACTTCCCCTGGGGACGTCACTGCTGGCTCCACCACCAAGAGGCGCGTCCAAGACCCTTCTCCTCGGCTGAAACCCAACCTGAGGTGCCACCTCGGGCCCCTCGAGGCAGCGGTGTCACGTCCACCCCGAGGAGCTCGTTCTCACCTTGAGGAACCTGTTGGCCCTGCCCACGGCCCCGACCTTCCCGGTGTAGTTGATGAAGCCAGCGTTGCCCTCGGTGGCCCCGTAGAACTCCCAGATGGCCACGGGCCCGAAGCGCCGCAGGAATTCCTTCCACACCTCCGCCCTCATGCCGTTGCCCACGGCCATGCGCACGCCGTGCTCGCGGTCATCGGCACGCTGGGGGTGACACGGGGACAAGGGGTCACCTCAGGGTGCCACCGGAGTGTCGCGGAGACCTCGGGGTGTTCCTGCGCTGGGCGGGGCCTCACCTTGGGCGTGTTGCACAGGTAGCGCATGAGCTCCCCCACGTACTGGATGACGGTGACGTTGTAGCGCCGACAGTCGGCCCAGAACTGGGAGGCGGAGAACTTGGAGCGCAGGACGCAGGTGGCTCCTGGGAGACACGGCACGGGGACAGTGAGAACAGCACTTTTTGATTTTGCCCTTGTCTTCGACCATCTGTCCACCCATCCATCCATCCATCCATCCGTCCATACATCCATCCATCCGTCCATCCATCCATCCACCCATCCATCATCCATCCATCATCCATCACCCATCCATCCATCATCCATCCATCATCCATC